AGAGGGAACTTGACAAAAGACGCTTCCACTCGGGAATAAGAATTGATAGCAGTAATAATTTTGAGCAATGCACTTTTTTGCTCGTCTATCGAGTTTCGGGATTGGCCGACTAGAGTATCCGCGATCTCGGGAACAAAATCGAAGGGTTTTCCGCTGTTCAAGATCGCGAGTGAAGGAGAATTACGGAAATTGTACGAAAGCAAGACCTCTGATAATCTGTTGAGAGTGTCGCTTTCGAGTTTTTCCACCTTCTTCTCGGCCTGAATTTTGATGGATCTGAGACTGGCCAACGGTACTTCAGCGTAGTCGATGCAGCGATTTCTGAAGTAAAAATGCAAACCGTCCATGGCCAGTCTCAGACACCTACTGAAAGCTTGCGCGCTCAAAGGCATTACCCTCAAGTCCTCCATTACGTATCTCTTCAAAATTGCGTTGGCCTCATCTTCTGATGGAGCATCAGCATCGCGAATGAGACCCGCCATTTGAAACGAATGGAGGAGTGAGGGCAAGCCAAAAAGATCAATTTCAGTTTCAAACTGACCTTGGGTAAAGAGCAAATGCACAAGAAATTTATTGAAACATTTCGGCTCGATAGGTGTCGGGACTACAACAACTTCCTGTAAGCAGGAGGAATCAACGAAGTTATTGAAAAACGCACTCTTAACGGGATTTTGACGACGGTACTCAGCCGATAAGGTCTGAAAAAGATCAGACATTTCTAAAACGCCTGGTTTGTGACTAGTGACAGCAAGCTCCTGCAAATAAGCATCAACTGCACACAAATAACGCAGGCGAACACGAATCTTACGGCAAGTACCATCAATCAAAGATCCGCTAAGTAAATCGTCAGATGCCTCGTACTTCCTCACAGCTTTTCCTGAGAACCACTGCAAATATTTTGCGGCAGAGCTTATGCAGAGTAGCTCTGGTGGTCTCAGAGAAAACGAAGTTGTCGAATCAACCGAAAAACGTGAATGAGAATATTCTTGAAGCAGAGTTAATTGCGACTTCGTGAATTTCCTCCATTCAGGAAAATCTTGCCGCAATGTCACTGGCAAGAATGATGCATCGGCGTCATAAAATTTCTTATCGCTTCCAACACCCGATTTAACGACAGCACACCTGTGTTCTTGTGCATGTGTCGAAAAATTCTGAAACTTGACATTGGTGCAAACATACGGCAGATCGAGTAAAAACCAAATCATCTCGGTCAAGGAAATCTCTCGAGCAAGCGCTTCACCAGTTTCGTTTCGCCGATCTTGCTCTTCTTTAGCATATCTAGCACCCGAGATTTTAGCATGATACAAATCCTGCAAGTATACCTCGATGTCATTAGCATTTTCAGAACGAGATTTTATGAACGCAAGACGTTTTTCATCGGCCCCGGCAGCGTATTTGGCAAGATAAGAAGTTTGGAATCGCCTATCGCACAGTTGCACGTTGACCATGCTTTTGAATGCGGCAAACAGTCGACCGTTACTCGGTACACGTATGTACTCGGGATCGGTTGAATAAATGTAACGGCCACCTCGCAACTCGTCAACCAACGTGATCTCTTCTCTATCCCCAGACTCGAAAGGGCTTGGGTGTTTATCGCCGAGTCCTAATTTAAAGAGTCGCTCTTTCGTTTCGTCGTCGAAAATGAATTCAGATTCTTTGAAATAACCCGGGTTATGGGCTTCGTGCCGTGGTACACGACAAGCAAAAGTTCCGTCTGCTTTCATTTTCTGACAACGCGAAGCAGCATTTTGACAATTATGACGCGTTATAGCATTGCCTAATTCGAAAAGGGCTTGATATTCATCAGAGTTATTAATGAACCCTTCTCGCAACAATGTATCGCAATCTGACTTATTACACACACTGAAAAGATCAGATATGCGATTATGAACGCGTTTAATGTCGTCTTCGGGATTCAAATGATCTTTGTCGACAGTCAGGCCAGCATGCACATGCGGTCGATTCCCTAACGCTCCACTCGACTGGAATTCAAATCTATACCAGTACGCACGCAACTTGCCGAAGAGATTTTCTGTGCTATTTTCAAGGTACTTGAAGAAATATCGCACAGATCTCTCCCAGCATTTACATAGAATCGTAGCATAGTTTTGCAATGCTCTATCAAGAGATTCTTTGTCGTTGCAATGCTTCAATTCAAGCGCGCGTCGTATGGGACCAACACCGAATGTCCAGGAGTCGTTACACGTTAAGGTTACAAAGTAAGTCCACGGCATGTCACGCATCATCGAAGATAAATTCCTAACTTGTGTGCGAGAGTCGATTTCGTCAAACCTAAAATTAATCTCTCCATCGGATTGCAAAAAAGCCTTGTTTATGTGCTCTAAGCCTTTGTTCAAGGCGAGCAGAACGGAGCTGTGTTGCAGAAGTGCATTCAAATAAACATCAAAAATAAAACCTATGTAAGTAGGGTCATGCGACGTCAAAGATTGATGATCTGAAATACGAACTCTCACGTGGTCAAGAAGCGTGGCGAAACCGCCAAAAACGGAACGCTTCCCATACGGGGTGAACATTACTGAAGGCAATGCTCCAACAACAGAATTTTCGACTGCCGCATAAAAGATTTGAGGGAACAGTAAAGCTTCGGGATACAGCAATGGCAAACTTTGATCCTTACCTATCGAATGGAGGTGCATGAACATTTGTTGAAAATTAACGGGCGCCTTTCTATTAATATTTGCTCTTCCGCACAATTTTAAATGGCTGTTTAGCAAAAAATGCCCGGAAGACCTACACGAATTATCTATCTCTGTACTTTCGCCTCTAAATGCTGTAAAAGTCGGCAAGTTAGTATCGGACAAGTGAACAAAATTATCGTCAGGGTCATCGAACTCGTAATTTCCTTCCTGATCAATATCGCGATAATCAGGCGGATCCATCAAATTGTCTATTTCACGAGTCACTGCATTTTCATCGTCACCACCTATGATGGGATCAACCGGCAATGAGTGGACAAGATTTTGAGGATGCTGCACCAGTCCTGATTCCGATTCGCTTGTAAAAATAACTTTTGCATGCTGTGCGCAAACGCCAGTTTGACAACGGTCATAGATCTGGCTTCCAAAAGCGTCGGAACATCTCCATACTATTGTTGAAGAGCAATTTGCATAGCAGCAAGTCAAGTTAGAAGCTACTCCATTGACTGGTATTTTTACACGCTCCCTCATCATGTACTTGGAGGGATGGCGAGAACATTTTAATTTAGTTTGTCCTCCAGCCCAGTTAATGAACTGTTCTTTCGTCATTAAACTTGCTGAAGGCTGTTCAATGTAGATTAGAACATTCCAGTTCAAATTCCTCAGGACACTACTACTATCGGAATCAGGACCCGAACAGTGGTGCCACTCTAAATCTGGAGTCCACCGGAAATCCACATCAAAAAGGTAACGATTGTTGTGATCGTAACGATGCCTACTGGCATAAGCTAGAAACCACTTACCATTGCAGAGGGTAAGAGGAACTACTTGGTTGTTACAACGAACATTACAACAATTGACGATTAATGCTTTAGAACTCGCTTCCGCCTGCCTTTCCAACCTACCGAAATTTCTGCGCAAGTCAAAGCTTTGGACTTGGCACAAGTCCTGCAGAATAGAGGTGGCTCTATGCGTTAGATCGGCATTGCGCGGTATAAGACCCGAAGCTGAAAGCGAATCTATCAATAAAGTTTCACATTCGAGAGGATTACTAGGCTTTTTGTGCTGGCCGATTTGTTCGATCAATAATTGTAAGGTTTCGTGCAATATTCTATCTGGTACAGTGTGCATGCGCTCAAGAAATAAATTATGTAGATAACGAGAATGCAATAGGGAGTGTAACACGGAATGAACGACAATTCCCGAGCTTTGATTCAGACCCGTGCGACCTAAAAACGGTACATCGTAAGGTCGATGTAGGTCAAGTGGGTCAAGTGGGCCAAAATGGGTCAAGTGGGTCAAGTGGGTCAAGTGGGTCAAGTGGGTCAAAATGGGTCAAGTGGGTCAAAGTGGGTCAAGTGGGTCAAGTAGGTCAAGTGGGCCAAAGTAGGTCAAGTGGGTCAAGAGGGTCAAAATGGGTCAAGTGGGTCAAAATGGGTCAAAGTGGGTCAAGTGGGTTAAAGTGGGTCAAGGGGGTCAAGTGGTCAAAGTGGGTCAAGTGTGTACAAGTCTGTCAAGTTTGTCTAGTATTTTACTCTAAGCTCGGAAAAACGTATGTTTCAAATTGTCGAAATAAAAATTTTCCAAATAGCTACGCACTTTTTTCACGTAGCCTTGTACGCCAATTTACCGGGTCAAACTGGGTCCGGAAGACCCACGCAATAGCAAAAAGTGCATCAATAGTTAGACAAAGCCTCGCTCATTTCCCTCAGTGATATATATATATATATATCCCTAACAAAATTTAGAGTCGCCCCAGCTTCTGGTAACCCAAATATATCAGAAGCTGGGGCGACCCTAAACAAGAAGCTGGGGCGACCCTAAATTTTGTTAGGGTAGCGTGTCCCCCGGGGGCCGGACTCAATGACCCCGCAATTGCCGCGACTAACGCAATCCCCGCCTCGCTTATTATCCGTCACTGTCGTATCATGGATACGAGGCTACGAGCTCGTATCATGGATACGCATTCACGATCGAGCTCGTTGCCTGGATACACGGCCACGAGCTCGTAGCCTGGATACGCAGCCACGAACTCGTATCATGGATACGCAGCCACGAGCTCGTAGCCCGGATACGCAGCCACGAGCTCGTAGCCTGGATACGCAGCCACGAGCTCGTATCCTGGATACGCAGTCATGAGCTCGTAGCCTGGATACGCAGCCACGAGCTCGTAGCCTGGATACGAAGCCACGAGCTCGTAGCCTGGATACGAGGCCACGAGCTCGTAGCCTGGATACGCAACCACGAACTCGTAGCCACTGGATACGCAGCCACGAGCTCGTAGCCTGGATACGCAGCCACGAGCTCGTAGCCTGGATACGAGGCCACGAGCCAGAGGTTGCCATGGCAACGTCCCCTCACCAGGGGCGACCAATGAGACTCCTAATCAGGCTCTGATTAGGCGCCAGCTTTACGCCCCTAATCAGACTCTTGATTACGCATCTTTAGACTTCATATTTTTTATTAATTCCTTACGTGGGCTCCTGATTAATTGGGGTTTTAATTAAGTCAATGACAGTGCTCCTCAATAAGCTCTTAAGTAGACTCATGATCAAGCAAATGATCAGCTTCCCAATTAACCTCCTCATTAATACTAATACTTACAATTAAAATTAATACTAACCATATTCTCTAAAACATTAATACAATGCATTAATCCTAATTAAGCTCCTCATTAACCTCCTCATTAATACTGATACTTACAATTAATAGTAATACCAACCATATTCATTAATACATTAAAACTAATACATTAACTTCCTAATTAACCTCCTCATTAGTCTAATACCTGAATAGGCTTTTAATTAAGTCAATGAAAGTGTTCATTAATAAGCTTTTAATTAGACTCATAATAAAGTCAATGATCAGTTTCGTAATTAACCTCCTCATTAATACTTATACTTACAATAAATAGTAATACTTACCTTATTCATTAATACATTAATACCAATGCATTAACATCCTAATTAACCTCCTCATTAGTCCCACACCCGAATTGGATTCTAATTAAGTTGAATATAGTGCTCCTCGATAAGCTCTTAATTAGACCAGCCAATGATTAACCTCCTAACTAACCTCCTAATTAACTTCCTAATTAACTTCCAAATTAACCTCCTCATTAACGCTAATACTTACAATCAATAGTAATACCAACCATATTCATTAACACATTAATACTAATGCATTAACCTCCTAATTAACCTCCTCATTAATACTAATACTTAAAATTAAAATTAATACTAACCATATTCACTAATATACTATTAATAATACATTAACCTCCTAATTCACCTCCTCATTAGTCTAATAAGTCTAACAAGTCCCCACGTGTCCCCAGAGACGCCCTGGTCACGTCCCTCATTAACTGCTGCACCTCCTTCGTCTCCGGCTTCGTCATCTTCTCCGTGCTGGGCTACATGGCCCATATAACGGGCCAACCCATAGACAAGGTGGGTCCAAGGTGGGCCCAAGGTGGGCCCATAAAACGGGCCAACCAATAGACAAGGTGGGCCCATAAAACGGGCCAACCAATGGACAAGGTGGGCCCATATAACGGGCCAACCCATAGACAAGGTGGGCCCACATAACGGGCCAACCTATAGACAATATGGGCCCATATTTCGGGCCCATGCCACGGGCCTTCTCATAGACATGGCGGCAGAGGGTGAGTGTGCCCAATAGAGAGTGAGGCCAATAGAGAGTGTCAATAGAAAGTGGGCCCAAAAGAGAGTATCGTGGCCTGGGACTGCTACGACCAGCGTGGCCTGGGGCTGCTCAGCGTGGCCTGGGACTGCTACGTCCAGCGTGGCCTGGGACTGCTACGTCCAGCGTGGCCTGGGACTGCTACGTCCAGCGTGACCTGGGACTGCTGCTCCCGAAACACCCCCTAAGAATACTAAGTTAGACCTTTGAGGATAAGAATTTTGATGCATAGACCACCGGTTATTAACTATAATCATCGGTTGATTATAGTTATTAACCGGTGTAGTATCCGGTCTATTAATGCGACTCTAAATTTTGTAAGGGTAAGGATACTAAATTAGACCTCTCAAGATAAGACCTTTGATGCATAGACCACCTGTTAAGAACTGTAATCAGTCCCCCCTCCCCACCACCAGGTGGTTGACGAAGGCCCCGGTCTGGTCTTCGTGGTCTACCCCTCGGCCATCGCCACGATGCCTGGGTCTTCTTTCTGGTCCCTCATGTTCTTCCTCATGCTGCTCACCCTGGGGCTCGACTCCTCGGTGGGTGGGGTTATGGAGTCAAAGGTGGGGTTATGGGGTTCTCGGTGGGGTTAGGATCTGCGTTGCTTGGGGTTTTAAGTCACAAAGTCACAGGTGGGTGGCGCTATGGAGTCCTCGGCGGGAGGGGTTATGGGGTTCTCGGTGGGTTGGGTTATGGGGTCCTTGGTGGGGTTATGGGGTCTGTGGTTCATGGGGTTGATGGTGGGGTCTGTGGTGGGTGGGGTTATGGGGTCCTTCAGGTTGGGGTCCTCGGTGGGTGGTGTTATGGGGCCCTTCAGGTTGGGGTCCTCGGTGGGTGGGGTTATGGTACCTCCCCACCATGATGGTCCCCACCTCCTCCCCAGTTCGCGGGGTCGGAGGCCGTCATCACGGCGCTCAGTGACGAGGTTCCCGCCATCGCCCGCCACCGCAAGGCCTTCGTCGCCGCCCTCTTCGGCGTCGACTTCCTCGTGGGACTCTTCTGCTGCACGCAGGTACGTGCTGCACGCAGGTACGTGCTGCACGCAGGTACGTGCTGCATGCAGGTACGTGCTGCACGCAGGTACGTGAAGCATGCAGGTACGTGCTGCACGCAGGTACGTGATGCATGAAGGTACGTGCAGCACGCAGGCACGTGCAGCACGTAGGCACGTGCAGCACGCAGGTACGTGCTGAACGCAGGTACGTGCTGAACGCAGGTACGTGCTGCACGCAGGCACGTGCAGCACGCAGGTACGTGCTGCACGCAGGGACGTGCTGAATGTATTACCACCCCGTATACTGTATCGTAATGTATAACCACCCCGTATACTGTATCGTAATGTATAACCACCCCGTATACTGTATCGTAATGTATAACCACCCCGTATTCTGTATCATAATGTATAACCACCCCGTATACCAGATACGTTATCTGGACTTATGTGTCTTACTTATCCCTCACTACCTTAGTCGAAGAACCAGACCCTCAAGTAGTGCTTAATTTGAAGAGCTCAATATCATAGTTTGTAGTAAATACACAACCTGTGACACATGTACGGGCGGCAGGAGTTTTCGTTCTAATCTGCCACTCGCCCATCCGTCCCATTCTGCTGCTGCTGCCTAAACATATTCTATTACCTATACATAATATGTCAATAATGTATACATAAGATTTGAATATTTTATAATCTATATCAATAAATAATGTATAATCTTTATCCCGTGAGATGTAATTATGGTATGATTTACATCAACAAACATCGTCATCAACATCAAATAATGTATAATGTTCATCCTCCCTCTTCTCCCCCCAGGGGGGGTACTACGTGTTCCAAGTACTCGAGGTGTACGCCGCTGGCTTCTCCATCCTCTTCGCCGTATTTTGGGAGGCCATAGCTGTGTCCTGGATATACGGTGAGCACTTGTGCTGGATATACGGTGAAGGGTCACGGCAATATATCACTCAATCCACTGCCGTATTAACGCACTCTCGTACACCATAAACGTATCTTCACCTTGATATATATTGAGTTTTCTTGGTGCATATTTTGCTTCCACATTTATGGCCAACTTGCGATTGGTGCATTACTCGCCCTACCCAAACAAAATTTGTGTGCCGCCCCGGCTTCTGCCCAAGAGTCGCTACACTCGGCTTGGTTATTCTGGGTCTGCTCGGCCACCCGATCACCTTCTGGTCAGAGTCTACTTCCCGACCTGAGAGTATGACAAGCTGCCCAGAAGCTGCACTTCAAGCCCGGCCGAAGCGAAAATTAACGGCTGATATCCATAATCCCCGAGTCCTGTGATACTCCTAGTATTTTATAGTCGGACCCGAATCTAAATTTTGTGAGGGATTGAATAAAAAGCTGATTCCGGTGGCCAAGAACACCTAGAATAATTCCAAACCAAGTGTAGCGACCCCTACGCAGAAGCCTGAGTGTTATGAAATTTTTGTTAATTAAGGTAGTGACCCCCTTGCCCCTACCCCCCACCCCCAGGCCTGGACAGGCTCTGCTCTGACGTCCGTCAGATGATCGGCTTCGCCCCGGGCCTCTACTGGCGCCTCTGCCTCAAGTTCTTTGCCCCACTCATGATTGGGGTGAGTCCCCCCTCCCGCCCTCATGATTGGGGTGAGTGTAACCCCAATGGTTGGGGGTGAGTCCTCCCTTGATTGGGGTGAATGCCCCCTTCTATGAAACGCTCAGTGTGGCGTGTACGTTCACTTGTACGTGCATTAATTCTGCCCTTAATGTCATTGCTGTACAGGACTTAGCCTATTGTCGATCTTATTCATTTCCTTGAATAATTTATTATTTTATTAAATTTATATATATCATCCTATTTCTATTTCTACGAAATTTACTGTGCCGTAGCTAATCCCTTCCCCCTCAGTCCACCATAATACCTCCTCACCTACAGTCCCCATAATACCCCCTTTCCCCACATCCCCTCCCCCACAGCCCCCCATAAAACCCTCCTCCCTTACAGCCCCCATAATCCCCCCCTTCCCCTCCCCCACAGCCTCCATAATACCCCCTCTTCTACCTCCACCATAAAACCCTCCCCCCCCCCCAGGGCGTGATCGTCAACGGGCTGATCTCGTACGAGCCGCTGTCCGTCAGGGAGGCCGCCGTGTTCCCGTGGCAGGCGGACACCATCGGATGGGTTATGGCCGCCGCCTCGATGGCCTTCATCCCCGGTGTGGCCGTGTACGGCATCTGCACCACCAAGGGAACCTTCATGCAGGTTACTAACTACTAAGTAATGAAGCGCAGGTTACCAACTACCAATTACTGGAACGCGAGTTACCAACTACTAATTGCTGGAACACAGGTTACCCACTACCAATTACTGAAAAGCAGGTTACCAACTACCAATTACTGGAACTACTAATTAATGAAACGCAGGCTACCAACTACCAATTACTGAAAAGCAGCAACTACAAATTAATGAAATGCAGGTTACCAAATACCAATTACCGGAACGCAGGTTACCAACTACCAATTAATGAAACGCAGGTTACCAACTACTAATTAATGAAACGCAGGTTACCCACTACCAATTGCTGAAACGCATGTTACCAACTACCAATTACCGGAACGTAGTTAACCAACTACCAATTAATGAAACGTAGGTTACCAACTACCAATCACAGGAGCGCAGGTTACCAACTACCAATTAATGAAACGCAGGTTACTAACTACCAATTACCGGAACGCAGGTTACCAACTACCAATTAATTAAACGCAGGTTACCAATTATTAATTAATGAAACGCAGGTTACCAACTACCAATTACTGAAACGCAGGTTACCATCTACTAATTAATGAAACGCAGGTTACCAACTACCAATCACTGTAACGCAGGTTTGCCAACTACCAACTACTGGAAAGCAGGTTACCAACTAACAATTACTGAAACGCAGGTTGCCAACTACCCATTACTGAAACGCAGGTTACGCACTACCAATTACTGAAATGCAAGTTAACAACTACGAATTAATGAAAAGCCGGTTACCAACTACTAATTAACGAAACGCAGGTTACCGTTGACTATTACAGAAACGCAGGTTACCAACTACCAATTACTGACAAGCAGGTTACCAACTACCAATTACTGAAATATGCGACCCACCTAAAATATATACGACATCAGGCCGTTGTACTATTTATTCTTCACTGATCGGTCTGAAAGACATACCTGAACATACCTGAATCAATATCCATTTTGTAGATATTTATTGTCAAAATGTAAGTTTTGCCTACAGACAGGGTGGCCCAGTGGTTATAGTTCAGAGTACCAAGATTGGCGCAGAGAGGCGCGGGTTCGAACCCAGCTCTGCGCGCCAGTTTCTGGTCAGAATCGGCGAGGAGGCCGGGCGGTTAAGCACAGCAGAATTGTAGCAGTGAGTTGCGAGATCGAGACCGCAACAAGCTGTGAATGTTCTGCGATGTTATGAATCGGCGACAGTCCTACGGCCTACTAAACGCTGGAACCGCTAGTTCACATTTTCTTTGGAAGCTGCAGTTTTGATGAAGGAGTTGGGGAAAGAATGAGGGGAAGCAGCGTCGTAAATTACTACCCTGTCACTCATGTGGTGGAGGGGAGCACAATAAGGGGCGAGTAATAATAGATGGTCAGTGGTCGGCCGAGGCCAATTAGTTCTAGCCGACCGCTAGTCGTTCCTCGGCCACCTGGCTACCAGCCATGAGCCTGAGAACATTCATTTTTTAATTAGTTAATCGACAAATAACGTCGTCGTTTCCTATGACTCACAGAAAACATTTGATAGACAAACTGACATAAAAACTTACTTTCTTGCTTTTTTTCCATCTATAATTCACGCCATTTCGTAATACTTGCAATGCCGCAAGCGATGTCAATATTTTATAATATATAATAATATTTTATGATATAAAATAATAATTTATAATATATATTAAAAATAACAATATTTTCTTCTTGCAGCGCATGTGCACGCTGTGCACCCCCAGCAATGGGGGAGAGGGGAGACGACAACGTGGGGGTGAGGGTGGGGGTGAGCAGGTGGCTGCCAGCACCGTCGTTCTGTCAGCGAGCAACGGGGTGAAGACGGAGGCCCTCCCCCCGGGGATGGGGGAGAGAGGAGGGGCTGGGGAGGCTGTGTGAAGTGGGCACGAAAGGGAACAGAAGCAAACTAACGACAAACATGCAACAAACATACAAAAGTTAGCGTCAAACATGCCATAAACATGCAACAAACACGCTACAAAAACGTTATCAGTAACCAACCACTAGGTCACTAGCGTTAAGGTGCTTTTACACTGGGCTATTAGTTGCGTCTACTACAGTTTTGCAGGGTGAGAACCTATATACGAGTATGGTGTTTTCGGTACACTGCGCCGGCGTCAGTGCGACGTTGAGAGTTGTCGAGTAAGGGCGTGCACGGTGGAGTCATGCGAGAGCACGATAGCAGTGCGCGCTACAGTGGGCGAGAGAGAGAGAGCGACGCACGCAGCTGTGCTCGGTATGACAGCCGGGCGGCTACTGAGCGCAATGCGCCTAGTAGACGCAACTAATAGCCTCGTGTATAAGCCACTTTTTAAAGCTGGTGCTGAACAAACGCACAAAATTTGGAGGAAAACACGACTTGCAACAAACACATGGCAAGTAAGCGACTAATTAAAGGAAAGAGAATTATAAATGCGAGAAAATAATATATAATATAATAATAATTGATACCACACGGTAGACATAAAAAAAAGGAAGACAAGGGAGGGGGGACGGAGTGCTCCGGAGAGGGGGGACGGACAGCCCCGGGGAGGGGGATGGACTGCCCCGGGAGGGGGACGGACTGCCCCGGGGAGGGGGGACGGACTGCCCCGGGAGGGGGCAGTCCGGGCAGTCCGTCAATTATATATTATGCCCGGGCAATTATATATTATGGTTTGTCGTAAAATCTGTTAAATTAATCAATGTCGTAAAGATGGTCATGTTAATCAGTGTCGTAAAATGGTTAAACCAAATCGATGTCATAAGATGTAACTCTGATTATTCGATGTCGTGACGTAAAAACGTCAAGTTAACTGGTATGAAATTTAACATTAATGGGAAATGTAATAATTATTTATTTATATAACATTAATTAATAAATGTAACATTATTATTACGTTTGATTTCGATCAAAGCTCTTTAATCGAAATTAGAGGCCAAATTTTTATTTAATTTATTATATTAATTTAAATTAAGTTACAGACCATATTAATATAATTTTATTATTTTAATATAGTTAAACCTAGTGTAGTTTAGGTTAAGAACTAAGAACCTGTAAGAACCAATGTGTCTGAGACTCCGCCTTGTAATGAGAACCATGCGTTGTGGTTCTTAGTATGTAATTTAATGGTAGTTAAGTAGATGATGTAGTTAAGTAGATAATTGTTGTTAAGTAGGGCCGTTAAGCTAAACAACCAGCAGGCTCAAAGATTTTGTGAAGACCACGTTATATATATGCTGATTTTGTTATATGTTTTAAATGATTTTGAACGTTTTTTATATATTATGTTATGATTTTTTACATATGTTTTATATGATTTTAAATGTTTTTATATATTATGTTATGATGTTTTTCTTATATGTTTTTATATGATTTCGAATGTTTTTATATATTGTGTTATGATATTTTTGTTATATGTTTTATAGTATTTAAGCAATTTTTTATATATTATGTTATGCTGTTTTTGTTATATGTTTTATATTATTTAAATAATTTTTTATATATTGTGTTATGAATTTTTGTTATATGTTTTACATGATTTTAAATGCTTTTTTATATATTGTGTTATAATATTTTGTTAAATGTTTTATATCAATTTAAATATTTTTATATATTGTTCTATGATATCTTTGTTTATTGTTTCATATTATTTAAATACTTTTTATATATTGCGTTATGTTTATCTTATGTTTTATATGATTTCGAATGTTTTTATATATTGTGTTATGATATTTTTGCTATATGTTTTACATGATTTTAAATGCTTTTTTATATATTATGTTATAATATTTTGTTAAATGTTTTATATCATTTAAATACTTTTTTATTTATTGTGTTATGTTTTTTATACAAAGTCTGGTTTGGTTGATTGTAGACACTAAATTTTAATCTTGTCTAACTCAATTTAATCAATTTAAACTCAAATTTTAAACTTGTGTTGAAGTTTTGGTTGATCATTTCAGCGACATTTTGGTTTTAAATTTTAGGTTTAAAATTGAACTTCAAAATATTTTGGAATTTTTATGAATTTAATTTAAATTTATCGTTAACAGTTTTCTTATACACTGCGCCGTTGACGTTTTGAGATTTCATATAAAATTATTGTTTCATTGACATCTTGAATTTGAATTTTTTATTTTAAATTTCACGGCAAATTATTTTTAATTTTATGTGAATTTCATATAAATTAATAATTAGCAGTTTCTTAACACTGCGCCGTTGACATTTTGAGATTTCATTTATAAATTTATTGTTAGGATTTTTTTTATTTTGTTAACATTTTGAGTTGAATTTTGTGTTGAAATTGGGTTGGAGATAAGTCACTTCCCACGCCTTGTGAAGGAAACACATTTACAATGCTATTCTTAGCTATGAATATTTACAATGTTATTCCTACGGATGTTGTATTATCAATGTTATTCGTACGTACGTGTGTAACACATGTCGAAACACATTTGCGGTGCTATTCTTACCGATGAATATTTACAATGCTATTCTTACCGATGTAGTATTATCAATGTTATTCGTACGTGTAGAGCATTTTTCATTATATTTTACCTGCTTAAAATTAAAAGAAGAGGTCACACTACGAAAGATGTACGGGTGATATTGTCCAAAATAATGACTTCACGTAGCACTGATACGCTCATATTTGCCAGGCTATAAACTGAGTCACAATGACCCACTCCGGGGCAACATACTGAAAGCAGGTTACCAACTACCAATTACTGAAACGCAGGTTACCAACTACCAATTACTGAAACGCAGGTTACCAACTACCAATTACTGAAACGCAGGTTACCAACTACCAATTACTGAAACGCCGGTTACCAACTACCAATTATTGAAACGCGGGTTACCAACTACCAATTACTGCGTTTGAATTGAGGTGTTTATGGAGTATTTAAAAGTAATGGTACATCTTTTATGTATGATCGAGCTAATGGTTAATGGTATGTAATTAATGTAATGGTCTTGGTTGTAGCAAAACAAATAAATGGTTAATAAATAAATAAATGGTTTGTAGTCTGTCTATGTAGAATTAGGTATATGACACTCATGAAAACAAATGGCGCACATTGTCTAAATGACACTTGCGGCACTTGGCGCTGATACTGCCTGCAGCTGCCGGGCCAAAATGGGTCAAATTGACCCACATAATAAAAAATGTCTATCCTGAGAGGCGTGTCTGTTCCACGGCCGTTAGAAAATGTGTCACATTTTGGACAATATAACCCATTTGTGTTCTGAGTATATAGTTGCTATATAATTATGATTATAATTTATAATTATTATTATATGAATAATTTTAATTATATGTATAATTATAAACGGGATCGTTAAAAGACTCTAATGATCGTTATATGGTGATTATCGTTAGTCATTGATCGTTAGTCATTGATCGTTAGTCGTTGGTCGTTAGTCGTTGATCGTTAGTCATTGATCGTTAGTCATTGATCGTTAGTCATTGATCGTTAGTCGTTGGTCGTTAGTCGTTGATCGTTAGTCATTGATCGTTAGTCATTGATCGTTAGTCATTGATCGTTAGTCGTTGACCGTTAGTCATTGATCGTTAGTCGTTGGTCGTTAGTCATTGATCGTTAGTCATTGATCGTTAGTCATTGAAGTGGCAGCAATGGTGACAGCCATCACCATTACTGACGCTTCACTACTACCATTAAGTGATGATGGTTAACAATACATTTCATTATCGTGGTAGAATTATCTATATATCATTATTATAGTAATAATTTATTAGACAATATATATTTATTATTCCATTATAAAAGGAATAAATGTTAAACAGTCCCAGTTAACCGGAGTAATTAAACGAAATTCACACTTCGATTGACTTTCTAAATTTATATGAATATATCTTTGGTAAAAGGAACATTGATTTAAAGAAAAAATAAGTAGTGAACCGCGGTTCAGCCATCGCGGTTCATTGCTTTTTATATGTTATTTTTTCGTTAATTTCGAAGTCTAAAATTGTTGTATTAGATTAAACCACGCGTGTAAGGACGTCGGTGTTAATACACGGGAGATATAAAAGGCTTTTATTGAGTGATGGTGGTGGTGGTGCTGGTTGGTGACTTGCGTGGTGCCGTGGTGATGATGCTGGTTAGTGATGTGGTGAATAACTTTATTAAAATTAGGAAGTAATTCCCATTATCTTGTTCATTTGGAATCGTGATTTCTGGAGCAATCATCTCTACTCGAAAAAAAGATTAAGTTATCCATGTTAAATTTTCTATGATAGAACTCAGAAAGAAAATAATTCTAGGGCAAACTAAATTGTTGAGTGCCTAACCCATAGGCTAGTAAGGCTACCACAGCCCCTGGTCTCACTGACAATCTCAGATAATTCAGATTTTGCGGCTCTGTTATGCAGATTCAAGACGTTTAGTGGCGAAATTCAAGACTACATTTAACGTAAATATTACATATTTAGTCCAAGTCCATCCCGCGCCTCTATCAAACTTTTGATACTCAACAGCATATATGTATTAAATTTAAATCTTAACTTTAAATCACAATTTAGCTCACAAGAAGTTTTGAAATACCATAGCAAATATATGAATATAAAAGTTGAATTCACAAATGTTGGTTCCAAAACAGTGCAGAATCCAGCACAATTAAAATTTGTTTTTTATTATCAAACTCCGGAAATACATAAATATAATACAAAATACATGGCAAAAAAATCGTGGCATCTTCGCTCTGCCGGCGCCCCCGACATCAATTGTCTGAATTCCTTCGTTTCGTCTCATCAGGCGTCGTTAAAAGTAAGGCATGAAATCTTGATCAACATTTTAAATTGACATTTTTCTTTGACGTATTCTAGTGACGCGTGCTTTATTCGTGATTTACTTGGCAAAAAAATTTCTGACTTGGCCCAGTGGTTACAGTTCAGGGCCTATACTTTCAAAAAAAAAAAATATAAGAGACCGTAAGTTCATCAGCCAATCATTGACGGCCTTTCAAGCAAAATCCACCAATCATAGACAAGAAAATAGAGCGGAAGTACTTTATACGTTCACTTAGCGAGTTTTGAAAGTATGGCCCCAGAGTAGCAAGATTGGCGCAGTGAGTTGCGGGTTCGATCCCAGCTCTGTGCGCCAGTTTCTGGTCAGAATCGGCAAGGAGCCCGGGCGGTTAAGCACAGTAGAATTGTCGCAATGAGTTGCGAGTCCGAGATCACAAAATACTGTGAATGTTCTGCGATGTTAAGAATCAGCGATAGGCCTACGGCCTAATAAACGCTGAAACCGCTATTATTATTATATTATTATTATTATTACCGTTTGGTTACTCTGACTAGTCAAGGATGTGAATTTTTGTAAAATTGATACCGCATTCCTGCTTACCGCGAGCCGAAACATCCTATAATATTTTATAATATAATATAATATTCTTCTCGTATAATATTTGTGAATAATTCCACCATTTGCTTGCTGGCTTCGCAGCACATCAGACAGATAGCCGCATGTATAGAATAGAATAGAAGTGTCGGCACTGAAGAAATAGGCCCATGGCAAATGCAGTCGTGTACCAAATTAAAGAAAATAAGTGTTCCACGCTAGGCATATTATAGAGGTAATGGTCGATGCAGGAGTAATAAACAATGTAGAAGCTATGATTAATACTAAAAGAAGAAACTGAAGAATATAGGAACTGAAGGAGTCAAGGAACTGAAGGATACAATTGAAATGACTTCAATTGTATCCTTCAGTTCCTTGGCTCCTTCAGTTCCTATATTCTTCAGTGCGATGGTTCTTATACTCGACTTATATATACTCGATGCTTGTATTCGTTGTGATAATGGTTAATAAATTTGCGCCCTGTCGATGATGGCGTGATGAAGATTGCCAGTAAAAGATAATAGTTGAGTCAGCGCTCGAGATATGCACATGCTCAGTCTTGGTTATCTTACATCCATTCCGTCACTACCCTTCACACAGATAAAGCAATCTTAATCTTTTTACTTTTTGAAGCTTCTACCTAGCATCTCGAGGATGATTAGGTGCGAAGCTAATTACCTGTAATATGTTAAACTCTTTCGCTGTGCATTTTTCTTCCAATCTATACGGGCGATTAAGCACAGCAGAATTGTAGCAGTGAGTTGCAAGTTCAAGACCGCAGCAAGCTGTGAATATTCTGCGATGTTATGAATGGGCGACAGGCCTACGGCTTAAACGCTGAAACAGCTATATTATATTATTATACTTCAGATATTCGTATGAACTTGATGCCATTAGAGTTAAGTATTATTAGTGAACTTATACAGAGAGATGGCATAATAAACGCTGAAACCGCTAATATTGTTAATTTTATTATTATTATTATTATTTGTACAAATTTTTTTATTATCTATGAATTTGTTTAGATTTTTTGTAACATGTATGCATGATTTGGTATTTTTCTCCACTTCTGAGCTGCAAAATAGATGAAGAATGGAAATTTTAAAATAATTGATCATTTTTTATCTTTTTTCCTTAGATGAAATTGCATGTAACGATACAAATTTCTGTACACACCTAAAACCTTCATACCTTAAACTGTACTGCAAAAAACTCATTAAATGACTTATGCGCCTTATATGATTATAAAAATTATTTACGACATGGCTGCGTGACAGCATGACGTGTCACGCTCCGGTATTGAAACGCTTTAAAATAATATTAATAATAATAATAATAATAATAATAATAATAATAATAATAATAGCGGTTTCAGCGTTTATTAGGCCGTAGGCCTGTCGCCGATTCTTAACATCGCAGAACATTCACAGTATTTTGCGGTCTCGAACTCGCAACTCACTGCTCCAATTCTGCTGTGCTTTAACCGCCAGGCCTCCTTGCCGATTCTGACCAGAAACTGGCGCACAGAGCTGGGATCGAACCCGCAACTCACTGCTCCAATCTTGGTACTCTGAACTGACTGTAACCACTGGGCCACCCTGCCCAGTCTGGGCCACCCTGCCCAGTGACTGGGCCTTTGCTCACCTTAGCGTATGTATCCTTCAGGAAATATTCGTATACCAATGAGAAGTAAGAAAATTACCCGCCATCGTTCACCTAATAAGAATAGCGGTTTTTTCTATTTATTAAGCTGTAGGCCTGACGTCGATTCCTAGCATCGCAGAACATTCAGAACTTGGTGCAAAGTCGAACACTCAACTCAATGCTCCAGTTTTAGCACTTTTTCTCATTGATGAAAAAAATGCACTATTGTGCTCGCCATGTCCGTCTGTCTGTCCGTCCGTCCGTGACTTCATGTTTTTTCGTCAACGAGAAAATGCGCTCTTTGTCACTCACTGCTGTGAGTACTGAGTTATATTTGATTTGTTCACACGGTTGAATGTGAACCTGCACTTCAATACTCAAGATATCGAAGAAATTCATGAATGAGACTGTCATAAATCCAAATTGTCTAGAAAAACAAAAACGCGAAGATATGTGAATGTCTTATCAAATCATCTTCTATCTGCTAAACAGTTCAATTGACAACGAACTTGCCGTGCTAACCAACAGCATCCACCCACATTCAGGCACCGCCAGCCGCAATTGGCAGACCTGCACCCAGTAAACGATATTTGAACATGACAAATATAATATGGACTTATATACCATTATTTAATATGCTATTCACAACCTATTCCACTATTCAATTTCTTTATTACGATTCAAAACAATCCTTCGGCATACTTTGAGAAGCGTATAAGAGAATACATGAAGAATTCAAACAAATGCGTTTTACTGATTACTAACGGTACGTTTGGGAAGATCAGTTGTATGAGTTTTCTGAACTAACCGCATTCGAGGTTGCAATGACTTTTTCTGCCCTAAAACGATCACAGTCAAGACGTCAGTTGTCTTCCATAATATATATATTTTATCATCATATTATTGATGCCTTGATATGAAATTATTGCTTTTTCTCTGTTGTTTAGTTTTCGAATAAGGAAATTTGAACTCGTTACTTCAAATCTGGAGTGCGCAGTGGCGTGCCACAAGGAAGCGTCCTGGGGCCTATTTTGTTCGTTGCTTTTATAAATGATCTGCCAGAAGTAGTATCCAGCGTGTGCTCCATGTATGCCGATGACACAAAAGTTTATAATACAGTGAAGAATGCGTCAAATAAAGCGCAATTGCAAGATGATCTTGACAGCTTAGTTAACTGGGCTGATACGTGGCAGCTGCGGTTTAATGCTGACAAGTGTAAAGTACTTCACCTCGGGAAGAACAATGAACAGCAAGATTACAGTATGAGAAGACATGGTTGCAACGAGAGAGTAATGATTGAAAAGTCTAGTGTGGAAAAATATCTCGGAGTTTATGTCGACAAGGAGCTGAAATTTTCTAAGCATGTTGAAACGCAAGCTAACACATCCAACAAACTTCTTGGACTAATCAGACGCTCATACGAGTTCCTAGATGCAGAAACGATGAAGCAGTTGTTTGTTGCCGTCGTACGCCCGAGTCTAGAGTTTGGAAACGTTGTGTGGTCACCGAGATTCGAAAAGGACAGAAATTTAATAGAGAATGTTCAAAGACGTGCAACAAGGATAATTCCAGGCTTGAAGGGCAAGTCCTATGAAGAAAGATTGAAGATTATGAAGCTTCCAAGCCTCAGTTATCGACGTCTGCGTGGGGACCTCATTGAAGTATACAAGTATACTCATGGTCTATACAAGGTCCCTGAAGGGTTACTAGAATTTGAAACAAGAACCAACACCAGGGGCCACGGCTATAAGCTAAAAAAATTGCGCTGCAACTTCTCCACGCGACAAAATTTCTTCTCGCTTCGAATCACCGACATGTGGAACAGCCTTCCCGATGACATCGTTGGCGCTCCAAGTATGAACGCGTTCAAGAACAGACTAGATAAAGCTATGGAAAAATATATGTTCAGATTTGAAATGCCTAGCTCCTTATCGAACCCGGTGGAAGTCTAGTAGCTTCTTCAAACTATCGCCAGTCATGAAAAGATCCGGTCAAATGACACGAGTTTAGATTCTATAAACAAGGCACGAAATGGAAAAGAATCGGCGACAGGCCACATCAGGCCTACACTTCAGAGCCGACATCACTATGTTATGTTATGTTATGTTATGTTATGTTATGGACACCGCTACCGAGATCCGAGAATGTACAGAATGAAGTGACCTCGCGTATGCGTGTCACACTTGCGGACTATCAACAAAATCGAACGTAAATCACTATAGTAAATTAGTTTCATATAATGAACGCGCAATAGAACTTACTATCTCTTTTAATGACTTCAACTTCTAACAATTGCATTTCTCGTAATAGATAGTGGAACCGAACGTGATGGGTCTAGTCTAGCCTAGCCTCTCCTATACCGGAAACTACACGAGTCCTGTCACGCGACGGTAGCACAACATTCGTTTTCACTCATTAGGTGATGAAAAAATATTTAAGAACCTAGCTTGGGCGAAAAGAAAATCCTCAAAATGGAAGGAGATCTCAGTGCAGGAGGTATGGCTTGTGGCATTATGAATGAATATACATTGTTTAATCTTATTTTATTATTGATGGCTTCATTCAGTTCATTGGCTTGTGCTTGTGGAAAATTATGAATGAATTCTACACATTGTTTAATTTTTTTTATTAATGTTCCATTGCCCATGGCTGCCGCCTCTGCGCAGGATTGGAAAATTCCTAATTACAAGCTAGATTGGAATTGATGTGCTTCTGAATAAAATTGCATGGCTCAAAATGCAAATGACTAATTTTTAATAGGTAGTACATTTTAATTTTGCAGCGTGATCTGCTTCTGGCAGTTCTGCTCAATCTGCTGATCATGTAGTTTTATTAACAATTAGAAAAGACTCAAAAGAGCTAATTTATCTAGTAGAAATTTTGTAGGGTTCATGACTTGTATCTCCATTCTCCAAACTAATTTGTAAAATTGATCCAAATGTTGCTGAAATTGCAGGTTAAAAGAGGTAATTTGTTATTTTTCACTGCATAAATTTGGAAAAGACCATGTGAACACTGAACAGCAGAACAGGTTAAATTGGCCACATTCATGACATGCCTTAGTGCCTAGATGAGAAATTGTGCAGAAGCCACCCGTAAATAGGTCTACCTAGGACAAAAACACTTGTAAATTTGGGAAATTTCTCATGTTCCTTTCCTGGCTTTAAAGTTAGGCCTTTTAGTTTGAGATATTTGCATCTTTTCAAGCTCTCCATCAGCCATCTTGATTCTTGAATCAGTATCCATGATTGATCACAAACTGTGAAGTGTGAATAAGGCAATCAGGAATACCTCTATTGCAAATGTTTTGATTGCTCTTGCTTTGATGTTTGATTGCCTGCATGTCACTTGCTGTTATTATAATGCGCATTTCTCCGTGCCAATCATCCGTTTTGGCTGTGACAAGTGTAATGCCCATACAGCTGTGCCAAACATTGGTCATTCATCTGTTTGACCATAACAATCATAAATCACAATAGCATAATTGAAGCATAATTGGCAACTGCCATCTGCCTCAATACAAGCATGGAAAATATCTACCTTTAGGGCCCCGACTATAGGTTTCCCGCCATTTCCAGAACTGTGAGATTTCTGCCAGATGACTTAACTCCTATCCAATTGTCCAATTGTTAACAAAAGTGCACGATTGGGCCGCAAGATTCCAAATGTAATGAAAATTTGTCATGTTGGAGCTGCAAGATTTCAGAAACAAGCAGGAAAATTCCAATCCTCCCTCAATATTGCCTCGGCATCTTTGGGGTAATGAAGATGGCGTCTTAGACCTATATTGTGCCATACTTTACACTCTGGGTTCCCATGGACTTTTTTCCAATTTCTTGATTTATTATGTGAAAAGTAAGAAAATGGCCTATTTTCACCTACAATTTTATTAAAATTGCCCATGAAATGATCATTTTTACCTGCAATTGTAGGAAAATTCTGCCCGGTATTGCAAATAGGTATTGAAGGGCATTTTTGTGTAATTCATGGGTGGCTTCTGTGCTATTTTTCTGCTTTGGGCTCAAACAATGGCGTGAAATTCTATTCTCAGTTCCAAAGGTAGATTCATCAAGCAAGAATCTTGCAGCTCATCAAAATGGTTGAAAAGCTCTAGACTAGTTACAGCTCAATCAGGATTGAAAAAATCCTACTTTTTTTCTGAAATATTGATTCTAATATCACAATTTCTAATATCACAATATTTTGATTGTATGAAAATTTTCTTTTCTAAAATGATCTATTTTAATATTTTCTAGCTGCAATTCTCTAATATAAATTTTTATATATAGACCTATTGAAATTTTGTGGCTTTCAAGTGACAACATTTTTTTATACATTTGGGATTTTTAGCCTGATTGAGCACTTTTCTTAACAATTAGATGAGAGGTAATTCATTTAGCGGGAATTTTGTGGTTACAAAAATAGCAGAAAAGCCCTAGTCACGGCTCTAAAGGAAGGTTTATTCCTTGCCAGTTCTCCATTAAGCAGGGGTTGTTGCTTGTATATCTCTTCTTTGTTATCCAATTCCAATACTAAATTTTGTCTAATTCTTCACTGATTACTATTTAAACCAAACATTCTGTCGTACAACTAAGAATATATCTACACTTCTCAAGCTGCAATCACAGCTTCTCCGCAATTTTTGTAGCTACAAGGTTCCCGCTAGATCAATTCCATCCTATCTAATTGTTTACAAAAGTGCATAGTACTCAATTTGCACAATTCCAAATCTATCAAAAATTTGTCACATTGCAGTTAATAAATTTGATTCATAAGATTAAAAATGGTAATCCATCCTCAATGAATAACTTTGTTGTCTTATTCTCTATCTATCATTCACTTATTTAAATCTATCCCCATTTTTATTACTAATCATAATAAGCTGTATAATATTATTATATTATTATATAGGTACCTATTATATGTTTATTATATTATATATCATTATTGGCAGTATAATATTATTGTATTATTATATTGACAGTATAATATTATTGTATTATTATATTGGCAGTTTAATATTATTGTGTTATTATATTGGCAGTATAATATTATTGTGTTATTATATTGGCAGTATAATATTATTGTGTTATTATATTGGCAGTATAATATTATTGTGTTATTATATTGACAGTATAATATTATTGTATTATTATATTGGCAGTTTAATATTATTGTTATATTGGCAGTATAATATTATTGTGTTATTATATTGGCAGTATAATATTATTGTGTTATTATATTGGCAGTATAATATTATTGTGTTATTATACCAGCTCTAGCTCCCATATTTTGGTGTATGGAGGCTATAAATACAATGGAGATAATAATTTAAACTTAGTCAAATCTAGCACTAGGGTCAACTTTACACTTAGTAAACATGTGACAAATGACAATTTATTGTAAGCCTGGTTTTGAATGAGGAGTGATTGTAATAAATTTATGATTATAGTTCCTTAATAAAGTAATATTTTAGAGAATAAACTTGTTTTAATGACTCTTAAGACTAATCAATGTCATGAAGAGATAATCAATGCTAGTACCCCACACACCATGTCTTGGCTATTTTATAAATACATCTGTACATTTGTAATTTTTATAGTATTCTATAATCATATACTTGCTTTTTGTACTATCTTAAAATATATATTCATTGCATATTGTTTCTATGTGTGATCTGTATGCATGTATGATGCTGGGACCAATTTATTGGCTGTTATTGGTGGGTTTAGCTCGACAAGGCATCAGTGATTGGCTAACGCAAGTACAAACTCTTGACTATTTTTACAACACTTCTCTTTACTTCACTTATTGTCTTTTTTTTTTGTTTATCTGCTACAAATATTATAATCATCAATATTTAATACACTTCTACCTGTCAAATTGATCTGAAATATTGCACACTTGCGTAAAGTTGGAGACAATGCATGAATCAATTGACAGAATAAATACCTAATTACAAAATTTTAATTTTTTTTTCATATTAAAAAATGTAAAAATTAATTTCTCAATATTTGAAAATAAAAATAGAAATTCGTTGTAGATGTGTAAAATCAGAGACACTGGCCTCTTTAGGAGTGTTGTCTTTAAAAAGTAATTTTAAATGCATATTATTGATATTATGGGCCCTAGTATATTTCTTTACTAATGTTTCATTAAAATACGTACACGAGTTGTGTACAAGACTGTACCTTTATATACATGTTCTTGTATTATTATTGAGATTTGTAGGCTCAGATCTTTTAATTATGAAATTAATTAAATAATATTAATTAATTAATATTAATTAATTAATTAATATTAATCAATATTATTTAATTAGGTAATTTTATTTATTAATAAACAAAAATTAAATCATTAATTAATTAATTTAAGAATTAATTTTTATGCATTATTTGCAGAGGTGAACGGATCGTCCATGACCTACAACCCCTCGGCTCCCTCCGCTCTAGGGTTCGGTGAGTGATGTGCAATACTAGATATCACCTACTTTCTCTAGGGCATATATTTTTTCCTGAGCACCTATTTTCTCTAGGGCATATATTTTTTCCTGAGTACCTATTTTCTCTAGGGCATATTTCCTGAGTACCTATTTTCTCTAGGGCATATTTTTTTTCCTGAGCACCTATTTTCTCTAGGGCATATATTTTTTCCTGAGTACCTATTTTCTCTAGGGCATATTTTTTTTCCTGAGCACCTATTTTCTCTAGGGCATATATTTTTCCTGAGCACCTATTTTCTCTAGGCATCTACCTATTCTTGCATTGAAATTCCTATATTTTCTCATAGACACTCATATTTTCCTGGGTGACAGTTTAATAATCTTTATCATTTATCATTGAAATGATGTTAGGAAATAAAGATTCTCTTGTAAATATTAATTTATGAATATATTTTTATAGGAAAAGAAGCATCTATATAAATTTTGAGTTATCATTTAAGAAATATGTTAAGAAAATGTAATCCCTATGAAATATCAATGAAATGAAAAATGGTAAATGGAATGCATTCAATTAATAAGATAATGAGGATTTTACAATTAATTTTAATTAATAATCTAAATGATAATAAATATAAATAATAATGATGAATTTAATTATGACAGGTAGTCGCAGCGGCCCCGACATGTCGCCCCCCGTCCCCCACACTCGCCCCGACTCCCTGCCCCACTACAACCCCGCCCACTACACCGGTATTTGTATATTGTTATATGCTGTATGTTGTTATTATATGTTGTATGTTATTGTATGTTGTGTGCTGTATGTTGTTATATGTTGTATGTTATTGTATGTTGTGTGCTGTATGTTGTTATATGTTGTATGTTATTGTATGTTGTGTGCTGTATGTTGTTATATGTTGTATGTTATTGTATGTTGTGTGCTGTATGTTGTTATATGTTGTATGTTATTGTATGTTGTGTGCTGTATGTTGTTATATGTTGTATGTTATTGTATGTTGTGTGCTGTATGTTGTTATATGTTGTATGTTATTGTATGTTGTGTGCTGTATGTTGTTATATGTTGTATGTTATTGTATGTTGTGTGCTGTATGTTGTTATATGTTGTATGTTATTGTATGTTGTGTGCTGTATGTTGTTATATGTTGTATGTTATTGTATGTTGTGTGCTGTATGTTGTTATATGTTGTATGTTATTGTATGTTGTGTGCTGTATGTTGTTATATGTTGTATGTTATTGTATGTTGTGTGCTGTATGTTGTTATATGTTGTATGTTATTGTATGTTGTGTGCTGTATGTTGTTATATGTTGTATGTTATTGTATGTTGTGTGCTNCTTATATACCTCATGGCCTCAGTGCTGCAGGTGGCCTATATACCGGTATATTATAATATAATGCTATATATAATATATAGGTAAGTACTTATATGCCTCATGGCCTCAGTGCTGCAGGTGGTTCAGTAGTGCAGTCCATATTATTTTATAATATAAGATATACCTATTGTATATAATATGAAATATTTTATTATAAATAATATATATAATGCATATATATATATATATATATCGTGTCCGGTTCTTAAGTACAAACTAGTTACAGAGTTAATTACCAGACTTGACTTTGTCCGGTTTTCTAACCTCTGTCCGGTAATTGTTCCTAATTCTTATATATATATATATATATTTATATGTTTATGATATATTATTAACATGTGATTTATATAAATATATTCTATACATGATTATAAATTAGTGTTATTTTATTGATCTTTTCATTATATAATTAATATATAATTATATGTTAACTATATATATATATAATTATAAATTAATATATAATAATAATATAATTATATATATAAACAACCCTATGTACAGCAAATTACCCCCCTCCCCCCCTCAGGTGGAGACGAGAACGGGAGCAAGAGACCCTCGCCCCCACTGCCCCTCCAGCGCTNCAGCCGTACGGTGGATGCAGGTGTGGGGGGAGGCAGTAGCAGCCGTACGGTGGATGCAGGTGTGGGGGAAGGCAGTAGCAGCCGTACGGTGGATGCAGGTGTTTGTCCACCACCTGACCATCTCTCGTGTCCACCTCCTGACCATCTCTCATGTCCCTCGTGTTACACCACCTCCTGACCACCTTGCCTGTCCACCACCACCACCTGACCATCTCGTGTCCACCAGAGCTGGAGGCGTCCATCGATGGCCTGCGGGAGGCCCAGCGCAAATACGACCATCTGCTGCGGCTGTCCCGGGCCCTGGCCTCCCACTTCTACCACGTGGTCAGCACCCAGCACCAGCTTGCTGACGCCTTCGCTGACCTCGCCCAGGTGATTATCACCTTCTTGGTGCGTTAATAATCACCCCTCACCTCTAGGGTGATTAATCACCCCGTCCACTAATCTTCTACCACGTCGTCAGCATCCAGCACATCTATTACTTTCCTAGCACGTTAGTAATCACCCCTTATCTTGCCCACTAATCACCCCTCACCCCCCATCAATCACCTCCCCCCACGGGAGTGATTACAAATGATGGGAAGAAGGCTGCACCCTGAGGAAGACTTCCCCCGTAGGGAGGAACTGGGGGAGGTCTGTGGGGAAGGAGGGACAGGGAAGAGAGGTGCTCAGTGGGGGGAGGGTGATCCCCTAATAATCACCTCACTCAGGGCAAGCTGTTCTCAGAAATTTTGGTGTATTTTTGAGAGATTTTCCCAGGATTTTTGGTCTTTTTGAGTGATTTTTTCAAAAAAATTCTACTTTTTGAGTGAGTTTTCCAGGATTTTTTATCTTTTTGAGTGAGTTATCTATAATATTTGTCTCATCAAGCAAGTTTCCCAGGATTATTTTTCTAGTCAAGTGAGTCGCACGTGTTACAGATGAAGGCATTACGTTGAACCTAGGGTAGTTGTTTATTGAGTGTGAAAAGATAAGATCCCAGTCTTATCTGGGACTAATGTATGTAGTAAGTGATGTATGTAGTAAGTGATGTATGTAGTAAGTGATGTA